TGTGTGTTGTTATAGAAGAGTGTGGCCATGTATGTGGTGTATGTGTGCTGTATGTGTGTATTGTGCTGTATGTGTGTATGTGTGTGTATGGTATTGTGTGTAGGTTATGTGTGTATGTGTATTGTGTGTATGTGTATGTGTAGTGTGTATGTGTATGTGTGTATGTGTATGTGTGTGTGTGTAAGTGTATGTGTGATGTGTATGTGTGTAGTGTAATGTGTGGTATGTTAGTTGGTAGTGTATGGTGTGTATGTGGTATGTGTTAATGTGTGTAAGTGTATGTGTGTATGTGTAATGTGTGTATGTGTGTCATGTGTATGTGTGTATGTGTCATGTATGTGTGTGTATGTGTGTATGTGTTATGTGTATGTATGTGTTGTATGTGTATGTGGTGTACTGTGTATGTGTGTGTATGTGTATGGTGTATATGTGTGTGTGTATTGATGTGTGTTGTCATGTGTATGTGGTGTTATGTGTATGTGTGTGTATGTGTATGTGTGTGTATGTGTATGTGTGTGTATGTGTGTGTGTGTGCTAGTGTGTGTGTGTGTATGTGTGTGTATGTGTATGTGTGTGGCGTGTGTGGTGTGAGTGTGCGCGCGGAGTTCGCACTACAAAGTGCACTATATAGTGTATGTACTGCGTATTAGTGTACTTCACAAGAGTGTACTGTGCGTTTGGCTCTACTGCATGTGTACGCTGTGTAATTTTGAATGGAAAGCGCGCTGTGAGACCGCGTTCTCCTGCACCAATCAGAGGGGGCGGGGCGCGTGTTCGCAGGAGCCGAGCGGCGGGCGCAGGACCGCCGCATGTGCCCGGCACCCGGCTCCCGCCGCCGCCACCATTCTGCCCGCAGGCGTCCGCTGGGGCCCAGCCGCGGCAGCGCCATGGCCGCCGCGCATCACGGCCCCGCTGCCGCAGACTTACGTCACCGCACAAGGTAACCTCCACACCCACACTCGCGCGCGGCCCATGCGATGGTGTAACGGTAGCCTACCGAACTGCTGTACCCAAGTTTGGCGAGTTCAAACCCGATCGAAGCGTGGGTATTTAAGGGCGAAAAATTCTTCGTAGCGTCTTCCATTCGGAGGGAGTATAGCCGGGCTGTCCCATGTTTAGTAGATTTATTTGCATGTAAAAGATCTTCAAAAGCCTAATCGCCTGTTTCTCCGCCCAAAATACCTCCTTTCTCTGCTATAATGTTGAAAGGAGCGTAGCGAAATTTGGCGTGATCAGAGGAAGAAGCAGGCCTCATGGTCCTGATCTCGCAACGTAAAATAATGCATAATAATTATACAAACACCTACGCGCCGCCGCCCCCACATCGCCACACGGACGGTGGCGTAGCTAGCACTCCCTCCCTCGCTCAAACACACGCTCTCGGGCTGCTAATATTTACTTGTCAAATTTTGACAGAAAGCCCCTTTATTGCCTGTGGCGAGGGTAAGAATCCCACACACTGCATCACAGATTCAAAGGGCAGGGTTGATCAGAAATAAAACTACATGACTTTAAGGTATTCGTTTTCGGTCTTCTTGTATGAAAAAACGTATGCTGAATTTGTAAGAAAATTACTTCAATTTGAACATTAACACATTTTCGGAATGCAAAAATTTTCCTTGTCCTTTTTTTTAGCCCCAAACGCTTTTAAAACTGTAAAAGATTCTTTGATTGAGAATATTTTTCGCGAAATGAATGAGAATGGAAATTTGCATTTTTCCTCAAGAATAAGTGAGAGCACGATAAGGGATAAGGGCCAAAGGATTTAGCTAATTTCCTGTAGGCCGGATAGTTTCCAAATTACATGACATCTAATATTTCTTGTAAAAATTTATAGAAAGGTCTATTATTTGATAATTTTCAACGATGTAAATCAAAAGAGCAAGATAGAGACATTCCACCAATCTCAAAAAACGTCCACATACACGCAACACCAATGCAAGGTCTCACGCATGGATGTTTTTATTTGTTAAATAATTAGACAAATAAATAATACATCATTTCCAAATTAAATCAATTAAGTTATTCCTTGAAACTGTCAGTATGAATTAATACCATATTTAATAATGCATATTATACGTTTTCAAAAAACTCCCTTCGCACCATTTCAACGTTTAAGGAGATATCTCTGTGTAATCTATTTCTTATTTCTTAAAGCAATAGCAGTATTTTTTCAACGCCGCCTAAGCGGTAGGGAAGTAGCTACGCCAACTGTAACAAAACTGTTCTAATAATCAACACATGTTCATTACACTCTGTAGTACTCACACACACACCACACAACCAACAACACACACACACACACCACACCACACACACACTTACAGTACACTCTTGTAGTGCGTTCAGGCAATGCATTGTGCTCATTATCTTAGCCAAGTAACATATCTATACATTTGTAGGCGTGCATGATTAGCAGAGAAAACGTACTTAACATTTTTACTGCATTTCGAAAGACGTTTTGTGAATTCACCTTTCCACAGCCGTCCCTCCGCTAAACAAGCACAAGTCTGCGAAACTGCCCGCGCACGTGACAGTAACTAAATACAAATGTCCCGTTCCGTAGCCGATTTGCGCGTGAGCAATCCTAACAATTTGATTCAGAGATATGTGTCAGAAATATGTTCATCGATTCAACGAACTGTTCTTGCACAATGACAACGATTTCTTGTTCGTCAGTGTCAATTGCCTCGGAGCTGCTCTGAACGATTGTTCAACCAAATTACAGGTTGTTCGACTTTGAGAACCTTCCATTCTTATATGACTTCGTTCATGATTTGCATTCGCTAACTCCAGCGGAGTCTAATGTGCCAATAGGAGTTTATTCTGTTTATCCATTACTCTTCAATACTCAAAAGAAACAAAGTTTATTTAATGCATAATTGAACTTGATCGTATTCAGATTCACAATGATCTCTATGTATACGAATATTTATACATTTTACGGAGGTTATTTTTGCTCCCTAGTTGCTTTTTTCTTATACAAATTTGCTTTCATAAATCGAATTCCTACGTTAAGCTATAATCAACTCGCACCGTACTCATGATAAGTGCAAGTACAACTTCATTCTGTAAAGAAAAAGTACGAATGCCTATTTGCTAGATTTTTCGCAAAATACTTAAGAACTGTTTAATTAGCGCATTATTTTTCTACAACTTGAAAGTTGACTAAAGAAGAGTTGCAGAAGCAGTGCTTGTGATCTCTTGAGCTTGCTCTTCCTGTTTACGTGGCTAAGTACTAACTAAGGAGGAATAATAAATTTAATTAGTAATGTACGATATTATTATTATTATTATTAATTATATTATTAATTATATATTATTATAATTATTACCTTAATAATAATAATAATAATAATAATAATAATAATAATAATTAATAATAATAATAATAATAATAATAATAATAATAATTAATAATAAAATAATAATAATAATAATAATAATAAAATAATAATAATAATAATAATAATAATGTCGGTCCCCGTCGGCGCAGACGGTTTGCGGTCGTCTGCGTCGAGGAGGCTGGCAAGGTTCTTGTCCTTGCTTAGAATGGTCCTATTTGTGATTGTCCCTTCACTCCTGATTCCTCTTATCATCTCAATAATTCACACTTCAAGACAATAAACAACTTTGTAGTACTGAGGGAAACTGCTTCACAACAGACCTTTGGAAAAATTCCACCCCCACGTTTAATCGTGTAGGCGTAGTCAGTAATGGCCTATATGTCAACAACAACAACAACACAACAAACAACAACAACAACAATTTCTTCGTTAGCGTATGAAAAATGCACCATATCATGTGTGTTGAGGCCCAGCAGACGAAGGAGGAACAGGAAGACGAGGGGGTACCGCCCCGTCGCTCCACTCGCCCTAAGGTCGCCCGCCGGCCCCAGCGCTGCTCCGCGGCGTTCTTTAAATAAAGCACATGTCCGCGCGTTCGCACATGGACTGAAATCCGGGCGAAGATTTTAATTAAAAGAATAAACGCGGCCACAAGCAGCAGCGGCGGCGGCGGCGGCGGCGGCGCGCACCCTCCCGGGCTGGTTGGCGGGATGCAGCGAGGCGGGGTGGGAGTGGATTGTCTCTCTTGAGGGACAGGGTGGATGGGTAGTGAGGGATGCGGGAGCGGGGACGATACAGAGGAGTCAGCGGTGCGAGGAGTGGGCGAAGCGGGTGGGGAGTAGCGAAACGGGGAGAGAGGTGGGGGTGAGAGGTGGCGCGAGGAGAGAGTGGTTGGCTAAATGGGTCACAATAAGTGAAGGGGGTGGGGAGGCGGAGTGATACGGGAACAGCTGAGCAATATTCTCAGAGGCGGGGTGCGGCTAAGCGGAATGAGGCGGGGAGGAAAACCGAGTTGGGAGAGAGGGGCAGAGTGCGATAGTTTGGGGCGGGGCGGGGAGGGAAATGTGGGAGTCTGGAATGGCGGGGGCGGAGCGATGCAGCCGATGAAGTGGGAACGAGTAAGGTAAAGTAGTGTGGGGAGGGGGTGGCGATGCGGTGGGGGTGGGTCGGAGTGGAATGGGGCGTGGGCACCCGGTAGCGGCCATCGGCGCCCCAGCGAAACAGCGGCGAGGACTGCGGCGCGTCCCATTTTCGGCAGGAGGCCCCGCGACTTTCCATTAAAAAGCCCCGCGCGTGCTGGCGGGGCAGGCGCGTTCCTTAAGGCAGTCGCACATTATGCCGAAACTCTCTTCTGTCTGTCTCTGCCTCCTTTCTCTCGATGCCCTTTTGTAAAATAATCCCCCCCCCCCCCTCCCGCAGGTACGTATCGCTTCGTTCGCAGTTTTTAGGGCAGACGAGCTTTCAATTGTGGAATATTCTCCTATCGA